GAGCATTTCACGTATCCATGGTAGAATTGGTATTCAGCAATCCATGCTTTGTGTAAGAGGCGACTACTGAGCTATTACTGGAAAATAGGTGACCAAACATAATATTTGAAAAATGTAGTGGTGTAGGGTGTAAAGGACACGCACAATCGGCATCATATTATTGAAACTATAAACAACAGAATATGGCCATCGTGTGTATTTACTAAATACCAAATATGTACTGACACAAAATCACGTAGCATGGAAACTTTGGCAATTCTTCATTGAATTTACCAAATCATTGTAATGTATCTTTTTTTAATATCTTAGTGATAGTCGTGATCCAGTACTACATTATCGAGCCAGGGTATACAGGGAATAAACGAATTGATCTGACACAATTTGGGGAAATAATGCACAATGTAAAATCTGAATTATTCATTGTTTACATTTTTTAAACAAACAAACAAATCCAGGTTAGAATTGGTCTTTAGCAACCCATGCTTGACGTAAGAGGTGAATAACGGGATCGGCCGATCAATCTCGCCGACACATGTCATGGTATCCTCGTTGCGTAGAACGATGCTCACAATGTTGATCACTGGATTGTCTGGTCCAGACTCGATTATTTACAGACCGCCGCCATATTAGCTGAGTGCGGCGTTAAACAACAAACCAACCACAACTGTATACTCTGTACATATAAGCTCTTTTTACGTGAAAAGATGTTATGGACAATGAAATAGTGAGTGATTGAGTGAGTTTGGTTTTACGCCGCTTTTAGCAATATTCCAGCAACATCACGGCGGGGGACACCAGAAATGGGCTTCACACAATGTACCCATGTGGGGATTTGAAAGATACAATGAAGGCATTTGTTGACAACCTGAACCAAAGCCGTCTCTTCAGCTGTGATATTGGCCACATTGTCATGACATATACTGTGAACACTGTTCTGTCCTGGTTACAACTACATGTGAGTGAGTGAGTTTAGTATTACGCTGCTTTAAGCAATATTCCAGCAATATCACGACGGGGACAGCAGAAATGGGCTTCACGCATTGTACCGATGTGGGGAATCGAACCCGAGCGGACCATACCACCTCTACAACTACACGTGGTACAAACAGTAGATTTATTTCCTCATTAATCATTATTCCGTGTCCGAGTAATGTAATCCCATTTAGTGTTAATTCAAGACCAGACATGCATTTATGCCATCTAAAATACATCCTTCCATGAAACTTTATTGTACATTATTCTTTTTTCAGTTTCAGCAAGCTCAACTGGACGCATCGCAACTACTCGAATGATGAGGAAGACGACGCCATTCTTCCTCCTGGTAGCATCCTTTCTGCTGCTGCTGCATGGAAGCCGGGCTGACCACGAACACAGTCACGTACAAAATGATATTCCCGAGCAAGCTCAACTGAAAGAGGAAGTAAAAGAATTCAACAAGCAGGTTGTGAAAACTCCAGAGGTGCAAGACAATGGAAATAGAGAGCAAAATCTTGCAGAAAACACAATTATGTCCAACCAAGCATCATGTGATAATAAAGAACACGGTACAACGAAACGATCTGAAACAAGGCATACCCGCCGACAACTTGCCAGAGATGATACCCGACGCATGGATCGCCGCTCTGTCTCCCTTACACAACGTGAAACTAGAGATACACGCAGACAACTTGCCCGAGATGATACCCGACGCATGGATCGCCGTTCTGTCTCTCTTGACAGACGTGAAACTAGAGATACCCGCCGACAACTTGCCCGAGATGATACCCGACGCATGGATCGCCGTACTGTCTCCCTTGAACGACGTGAAACTAGAGATACCCGCCGACAACTTGCCCGAGATGATACCCGACGCATGGATCGCCGTTCTGTCTCCCTTGAAAGACGTGAAACTAGAGATACCCGCCGACAACTTGCCCGAGATGATACCCGACGCATGGATCGCCGCTCTGTCTCCCTTGAAAGACATGAAACTAGAGATACCCGCCGACAACTTGCCCGAGATGATACCCGACGCATGGATCGCCGCTCTGTCTCCCTTGAAAGACGTGAAGTGAGAGATACCCGCCGACAACTTGCCCGAGATGATACCCGACGCATGGATCGCCGCTCTGTCTCCCTTGAAAGACGTGAAACTAGAGATACCCGCAGACAACTTGCCCGAGATGATACCCGACGCATGGATCGCCGTTCTGTCTCCCTTGAAAGACGTGAAGTGAGAGATACCCGCCGACAACTTGCCCGAGATGATACCCGACGCATGGATCGCCGCTCTGTCTCCCTTGAAAGACGTGAAGTGAGAGATACCCGCCGACAACTTGCCCGAGATGATACCCGACGCATGGATCGCCGTTCTGTCTCCCTTGAAAGACGTGAAACTAGAGATACCCGCCGACAACTTGCCCGAGATGATACCCGACGCATGGATCGCCGTTCTGTCTCCCTTGAAAGACGTGAAACTAGAGATACCCGCCGACAACTTGCCCGAGATGATACCCGACGCATGGATCGCCGTTCTGTCTCCCTTGAAAGACGTGAAACTAGAGATACCCGCCGACAACTTGCCCGAGATGATACCCGACGCATGGATCGCCGTTCTGTCTCCCTTGACAGACGTGAAACTAGAGATACCCGCCGACAACATGCCCGAGATGATACCCGACGCATGGATCGCCGTTCTGTCTCCCTTGAAAGACGCGAAGTGAGAGATACCCGCCGACAACTTGCCCGAGATGATACCCGACGCATGGATCGCCGTTCTGTCTCCCTTGAAAGACGTGAAACTAGAGATACCCGCCGACAACTTGCCCGAGATGATACCCGACGCATGGATCGCCGTTCTGTCTCCCTTGAAAGACGTGAAACTAGAGATACCCGCCGACAACTTGCCCGAGATGATACCCGACGCATGGATCGCCGTTCTGTCTCCCTTGAAAGACGTGAAACTAGAGATACCCGCCGACAACTTGCCCGAGATGATACCCGACGCATGGATCGCCGTTCTGTCTCCCTTGAAAGACGTGAAGCTAGAGATACCCGCCGACAACTTGCCCGAGATGATACCCGACGCATGGATCGCCGTTCTGTCTCCCTTTGAAAGACGTGAAGTGAGAGATACCCGCCGACAACTTGCCCGAGATGATACCCGACGCATGGATCGCCGCTCTGTCTCCCTTGAAAGACGTGAAACTTGAGATAGACAACTTGTGAGATGATACCCGACGCATGGATCGCCGTTCTGTCTCCCGAAAGACAACTAGAGATACCCGCAGACAACTTGCCCGAGATGATACCCGACGCATGGATCGCCGTTCTGTCTCCCTTGAAAGACGTGAAACTAGAGATACCCGCCGACAACTTGCCCGAGATGATACCCGACGCATGGATCGCCGCTCTGTCTCCCTTGAAAGACGTGAAACTAGAGATACCCGCCGACAACTTGCCCGAGATGATACCCGACGCATGGATCGCCGTTCTGTCTCCCTTGAACGACGTGAAACTAGAGATACCCGCAGACAACTTGCTCAAGATGATACCCGACGCATGGATCGCCGTTCTGTCTCCCTTGAAAGACGTGAAACTAGAGATACCCGCCGACAACTTGCCCGAGATGATACCCGACGCATGGATCGCCGCTGTCTCCCTTTGAAAGACGCGAAGTGAGAGATACCCGCAGACAACTTGCCCGAGATGATACCCGACGCATGGATCGCCGTTCTGTCTCCCTTGAAAGACGTGAAACTAGAGATACCCGCAGACAACTTGCCCGAGATGATACCCGACGCATGGATCGCCGCTCTGTCTCCCTTGACAGAAGTGAAACTAGTGATACCCGCAGACAACTTGCCCGAGATGATACCCGACGCATGGATCGCCGTTCTGTCTCCCTTGAAAGACGTGAAACTAGAGATACCCGCAGACAACTTGCCCGAGATGATACCCGACGCATGGATCGCCGCTCTGTCTCCCTTGAAAGACGTGAAACTAGAGATACCCGCAGACAACTTGCCCGAGATGATACCCGACGCATGGATCGCCGTTCTGTCTCCCTTGAAAGACGTGAAACTAGAGATACCCGCAGACAACTTGCCCGAGATGATACCCGACGCATGGATCGCCGCTCTGTCTCCCTTGAAAGACGTGAAGTAAGAGATACCCGCAGACAACTTGCCCGAGATGATACCCGACGCATGGATCGCCGTTCGGTCTCCCTTGAAAGACGTGAAACTAGAGATACCCGCAGACAACTTGCCCGAGATGATACCCGACGCATTGATCGCCGTTCTGTCTCCCTTGAAAGACGTGAAACTAGAGATACCCGCAGACAACTTGCCCGAGATGATACCCGACGCATTGATCGCCGTTCTGTCTCCCTTGAAAAACGTGAAACTAGAGATACCCGTCGACAACTTGCCCGAGATGATACCCGACGCATGGATCGCCGCTCTGTCTCCCTTGAAAGACGTGAAACTAGAGATACCCGCCGACAACTTGCCCGAGATGATACCCGACGCATGGATCGCCGCTCTGTCTCCCTTGAAAGAAGTGAAACTAGAGATACCCGCAGACAACTTGCCCGAGATGATACCCGACGCATTGATCGCCGCTCTGTCTCCCTTGAAAGACGTGAAACTAGAGATACCCGTCGACAACTTGCCCGAGATGATATCCGACGCATGGATCGCCGCTCTGTCTCCCTTGAACGACGTGAAACTAGAGATACCCGCAGACAACTTGCCCGAGATGATACCCGACGCATGGATCGCCGTTCTGTCTCCCTTGAAAGACGTGAAACTAGAGATACCCGTCGACAACTTGCCCGAGATGATACCCGACGCATGGATCGCCGTTCTGTCTCCCTTGAAAGACGTGAAACTAGAGATACCCGCCGACAACTTGCCCGAGATGATACCCGACGCATGGATCGCCGTTCTGTCTCCCTTGAAAGACGTGAAACTAGAGATACCCGCCGACAACTTGCCCGAGATGATACCCGACGTGTAACCATGGATACTCGCCGAACACAATCCAGTGGTTTCCGAAGTCATGGGTTAGTCCGTGTCTCCGTCCAAAAAGGCATTTCCAGAGCCCGTCCCTCCCATCGAATTTCCACCATAAAGAAAAGCTCGGCTGAATCACTGTCTACACTACAACCCGTCCAGAAACATCTAACCGCATCTCTACCACTTCATCAAGGAAAAGACACAAACACGTGAGTAAACGTTCCAGAAACCTGTCACTTGGATAATGTGAATGAATGAAGTGAGTTCGACAATCTGGTTCCACCAAGCACCTGTGCGGAAAGATGAGAGGATGACAATGACCCTTTAGCTAGCTGAAAATGACAAAGTTCAGTCACTTAAATAGTAAAACGACTGCGAGTTAGCCTTGTTTCTATCTGCTGATGCCAGTTGTGATAAAGGGTTAATTAATTAAAGAGACCAAATTTAACATTTAAGTTTGTGAATCTCTGGGAGCAAGTTATCACTGTCTTTACCAAATTCTTTCTAACTTCTTTCCTTGCAAGAAAATTGGATTGGATTCGAAAACCTCTCGGAATAGTGTGTAAGAGTTCCATGCCAACGATCCCATGCAGATCCTGGTCAAAATTGGTCTTCAGCAATCCATGCTTGCCGTAGGGTCGGTTTTCAGGCTCCCTTATGTGGTTGACACAAGTTATTGTACCCCAGTTGTGTAGATCGATGCCCATGCTGTCAATCAATAATAGGGGCGGTGGGGTAGCCTAGTGGTTAAAGCGTTCGCTCTTAACGCCGAAGACCCGGGTTCGATTCCCCACATTGGTACAATGTGTGAAGCCCATTTCTGGTGTCCCCAGCCGTGATATTGCTGGAATATTGCTAAAAAGCGGCGTAAAACCATACTCACTCACTCAATCAATCAATAATAGAAATGAAAGACATAATGTATCGCCGTCAGTGGAATTGCTCCTATTAATTATTTTAGTTCGATCATTATGATCATTCATTGTTTGTCATTGTCATTTCCACCAGGACAGCTTGTGTAGTCTAATGTTTGCCCGTGGAACGGACGGTCGGTTTGTTGATGTCCTGTCCGAGTCATTCCAAAATATTTTAATACAAGCTGCTTGTTTTTACCCTGCCTTGTGTTCTGCCTTAAAGGGATAAAAAAGCACTGGTTGGGGTATCCGTGTAATACTGAAAGACAGCATCACGTTGGCTCAGCTCAGTAAAATCGGACAAAGTCTAGTAGCCATACCAACATGTATTTCGGTAAAATGTATTGAGAGGCGATGAGGTAGCCTAGTGGATAAAGCATTCGCTCCTCACGCTGAATAACTGGGTTCGATTCCCCAAGTGGGTACAAGGTGTGAAGCCCATTTCTGGCGTCCTCTGCCGTGATATTCCTACAATATTGCTAAACTCGGCGTAAAACCACGGCGTACAATCATCTCGAAATCTAATTTAATCTCATCTCATTTCTGTAATGTATGTTTACATTTTCAGCGAGATCGATGCCACTGTGAAGGGAAACAGCTACTTCGGGCATCACTGCTTACCTTCCATCCTCCAGGTACACATTCAAATAGTCAAGTCAATAACATAATATTCAGTCACAACGTGTGTTTGCCCTCCTGCAAAGTGGGTAATTTCCTCAGAGTACAATGAGGCCCCTTTTCATGCTGGACGGAGTACACCTTTGTATTGTTTCCTTAATTACACCAATACCTCATATAAGGTTATTTTCAATGATAGATGAAACCCAGGTCAAACAATTTAAATTCTAAAAATTCCTAAAAATTTGTAACGGTATTGTCCAGTAAACATTACTATTGGCCTAAATAAATAAATAAATAAATAAATAAATAAATAAATAAATAAATAAATAAATAAATAAAATAAATAAATAAATAAATAAATAAATAAATAAATAAATAAATAAATAAATAAATAAATAAATAAATAAATAAATAAATAAATAAATAAACAAACAAATAAAATAAACATTCGTACAAAAATATCGGTTTTCTTTGATCCACTGAAAGACACAAAATGTAAACGGGAGTATAACATACAATTATCTTTGCATGAAATAGCAGACCTTGTTATGATCAACAAATAATGAGTTTATTAATCATGTTTCAGAAAACCCAGGAGACTATTCTGTCATCATCATTATTTACCTCACTGAAAGGCAAAGAGAACATGTAAGTATTATACCGATATTAATTTGCAGAGTTTTGCTTTATCCGTGTTAATTGGTATATATGTTTTCACGTGTTTTTAACAGAGACAAAAGAGTTGAGATATGATTGATGAAACATTAAACTATATATTTCAAAAGGAAATTTACATGATAAGGTGATCGAGTGATAAACATGACGGTTTCCAATGTAAAACACGTAATAAATTCAATTTTTTTTAAACATTTAAAGTTTTTACCTCAGAGCAACATCGAGGCCAATGGTCTCTGACTAAATGAATGAATGCTTTCTGGATGTCATATGTATAATGTTGATTAAGTATTTGATCCAAGACGCGTGTAACTTTCTAAGGTGTCTTAGACAATCGGTATTTTGTACACATTCGTCTGAACAGGGCAGGTTGTTAACAGAAGGATATTTGTAAATGATTCGAGCACTTTACGTTCAAATTACATAACAGTTTGTTTCAAGTTTGAAACACCCTTTCAAAACTCGTTCCTCCATAACGAATTAATATTTTGTCATTAATTCACTCTCTCTATTATTTCAGGTTGCCAGGCAATGACTCCATTGCACGCGCTGTTATTCTTGGAATGGTTGGTCTCCTAGCAACAGGTTCCGGAAAACGTAACAAAATGGAAGCGTGAGGAATAATCCGTGACCAAAAGACGTAGGGTCTGTCTTTGTGCATGGTGATATTTATAGACACTGTGTATTTCGATACACGTTGCGATCCACCAACCCGCAGGCAGTGACGTCATACCTAGAGACTTCATTATCCATTCTCATGTTCACAGAAGTAATATTGACACGAAAATGTAAGTCTCCACTGCCATGCAACATTTCTTACTGCTGATGTCAATAAAATACTTAGACGTTGAAGAGCACCATGTGATTGTCTATAGTACAATTCGAGTGGTATTCACAAAGTACAAAAATATTATTTTTTACATCTTTCATGAATACATGTATTTTTTTTAAAAGGATGAAATGCTAACCAATTACAAGATTAGATTTATCACTTAATGAGGTAATAACGGCATTTTCCGCTTCAAAACCGCCTCGTTGAATATGATGCTTTATGCACAAATGTTCACTGGACATATATATGATACCAATATTGGCTTTCCTCTTGGGAAGAAGTCGTGAATACTGCGTGTACATAGCTATTCCCTATCCTTAGTATACATCTGTATATACAACGTAATAAAATGTCTCAGATTCCCTTTGCATTTCCTCATTTTAGAATACATACAGTACATGTGAAGATCCGGGTTAGTATTGGTCTTCAAAAACGGGATCGCATGATCAGGCTCGCTGACTTGTCATCGTATCCAAATTACTTTCCCCCGGTTAGCCGTGAAGGTCCGGGTTAGAATATTTATCTTCAGTAACCCATGGTTGTCGTAAGAGGCGACTAACGGGATCGGGTGGTCAGGCTTGCTGACTTGCTTGACACATGTCATCGATTCCCAATTGCTCAGATCGATGCTCATGCTGTTGATCACTGGATTGTCTGGTCCAGACTCGATTATTTACAGACCGCCATCATGTAGCTGGGATATATAGGCGTTAAACAGCAATAAAAATATCCTTAATTAGCTGGAATATAGCTCAGAGCTTCGTTAAACCCTCTCAGCCATGACTTAAGGACTGGCACCAAATTTCGCTCAGTTCACGCACGGTCTCACTAACGCAGCGCCCAAGCGAGCTACATGGCGGCGGTCTGTAAATAATCGAGTCTGGACCAGACAATCCAGGGATCAACAGCATGAGCATCGATCAATTGGGATACGATGACATGTGTCAACCAAGTCAGCGAGCCTGACCACCGATCCCGTTAGTCGCCTCTTACGACAAGCATGGGTTACTGAAGATCAATATTCTAACCCGGACATTCACGGGTAACGGGGATAGTGAGTGAGTGAGTTTAGTTTTACACCGCACTCAGCACTATTCCAGCTATATGGCGGCGGTCTGTAAACAATCGAGTCTGGACCAGACAATCCAGGGATCAACAGCATTAGCATCGATCTGCGCAATTGGGAACCGATGACATGTGTCAACCAAGTCAGCGAGCCTGACCACCCGATCCCGTTAGTCGCCTCTTACGACAAGCATGGGTTACAGAAGATCAATATTCTAACCCGGACCTTCACGGGTAACGGGGGAAAGTGAGTGAGTGAGTTTAGTTTTACGCCGCACTCAGCAATATTCCAGCTATATGGCGGCGGTCTGTAAACAATCGAGTCTGGACCAGACAATCAATGGATCAACAGCATTAGCATCGATCTGCACAATTGGGAACCGATGACATGTGTCAAGCAAGTCAGCGAGCCTGACCACCCGATCCCGTTAGTCGCCTCTTACGACAAGCATGGGCTACTGAAGATCAATATTCTAACCCGGACCTTCACGGGTAACGGGGAAATATTCCAGCTATATGGCGGCGGTCTGTAAACAATCGAGTCTGGACCAGACAATCAATGGATCAACAGCATTAGCATCGATCTGCACAATTGGGAACCGATGACATGTGTCAAGCAAGTCAGCGAGCCTGACCACCCGATCCCGTTAGTCGCCTCTTACGACAAGCATGGGCTACTGAAAATCAATATTTTAGCCCGGACCTTTACGGGTCAACCGGAGAAAGTATGAAAGTAAACTGATTTTAAGGAACATCCGAATATATAAGCATCAGGCAGTCGATGAGGAGACGGTGTTTGGCAGTGGTGAATGGGCGGGGCGGCCATACACGATATTGAACTGAGAAATTACGCATTTTTTATTCTTGTGACTTGACATTCTGTATACCCATGTTTTGGAACGGCGGTGTAGCCTCATGGAAGTGATTATGGCACTGTCAGTGTATCGAGTACATCACACAGATCTCAGCAATGAAATAATAACAATTTAACCATCTTACCATCTCTTGTTCTTTTATAGTGCCCTGAAGAAAGAATGTGAAGTTTCTTTTTTTGACTCAGTATATTTTGCCATACATTGCATGAACAATTAACAATAGTTCTATAAAATAATCTAGTTTTCTTTATGGGTATTTTATCCATCATTACAACCCGAATGCTGCTTTTGATGGTAACTTTGAGAACAATAGGAGCATTGACATCGGATGAAGAATCTGAAATTTGGTGAGATTGATAGCGAATGGAGCACACTGGCTTCAATATACGTAGTCACCGACACTATCGATTTGTTTTGTACAACGGCATCCTGGTTTATGTGTCGCCCAATACGCTCGCACATAGATCTACGTAATCACGCATGTCTGAAACATGCATAGACACAGTGTACAAATAACAATTTCTTTATCATATAACCCGTGCAGATCCGGGATAGAAGTCTTCAGCAACCCATGCTTGTCGTAAGAACCGTAATGAGATCGGCTGATTAGGCTCGCTGACTTGGTTGACATATGTCATCGTATCCAAATTGCGTAGGACGATGCTTATGCTGTTAATCACTGGATTGTCTGGTCCAGACCCCATAGTTTACATACCGCCGTGATATAGCTGTAATACTGCTGAGTGCGGCGTTAAATAACAAGCAAAACAAACACATGTGTGGATAACGCATGGGGATTTTATGAAACAGCCGTCAAACGTGTTCATGCAGTCCTCCAACAGTGGATGAGTGAGTATGGTTTACATCACCCTAAGCAATATCCCATCAATATCACGGTTGGGGAGACCAGAAATGGACCTCACAAATTGTACCCATGTGTGGAATCGAACCGGGTCTTCAGCGTGATGAGCGGACGCTTTAACCATTAGGTTACCCCCTCAAAAGTAGGGAGACATGGAGGGATTCCATGTTGACGTGACATTGGAGCGATGGGGTAGCCTAGTGGCTAAAGCGTTCGCTCGTCATGTCAAAGACCCGGGTTCTATTCCTGTCATGGGTACAATGTGTGAAGCCCATTTCTGGTGTCCCCCGCCGTGGTATTAATGGAATATTGCTAAAAGCAGCGTAAAACCACACTCACTCATTCGACGTGACACGAACTGAATTATATTTCGACAATCTTAGACCAGTGACGGTTACCGCACGGATTCAGTTTACGTCCCTTCAAGAGCTGTAGAGTAGACCTTAGGTAATCCGACACTACTCTGGACCAGAGGAGAAATGTCGGATTAGACAGAGTTTCGTGGCTGGATGCTCTCACTCTTCATGAACAGGTACACTCTCCTACCCAGAGTTCCATGCGGCAAGCCAGCATAGTACCTCTGCCACAGGCCACAAAAATGTGACGATTCGTCACATCTTGCAATGTCAATTCAATATAATGTACAAATTTCTTTTACTCTTTTATTTTGGACGAGTCTACACATCTAACTAAACATCTTAAATAGAATGGTTTAGTTTCACTGAGAAAATATCCAAAAACATGTAACACTATTTCGATTTGCGTAGCGATCCTTTGTTTACATAGGTTGTACGGCTCCACGTGCTGTCATCGAAGCTGGTGGAGTGCAAACGATGCAGCCAGTTTGATATCTAAATATGTACTGTCATAGACCTTACTGTCGCAGTTGTGGAAGAATATATATGTAACAATGTAAAACATTATGAAGAGAGCGCCGAAAAGCTTTCGTGAGTCCAGTCTCTTCTTATTATGAATATGCGCGTTTGATTACAAACAAGAGAAAAGTCCGGTCATGTGATATGCAAATTAGCCTGTGGCAGTGATGTTATGTTAAGTCATCGCTGTGCCGGAGTGTGGAACAGTTAGTCTGTAATTCAGCCTACCAGTTAAGCCGGCAATTATGGATTAAAACTCGCACCAAGCAAATTATGAGTGGTTGGGTTGGGTCGTTGTTTAACGCAGTATTCCAGCTATATTGCGGCGGTCTGTAAATAATCGAGTCTGAACCAGACAATCCAGTGATAAACAGCATGAGCATGGTTCTACGCATTTGGTGCGTCACGTATGTGAATGAATCGGTTCGTTCCTTGTTATGTGTTAATCCTTGTTAACGTGTTAAAAATAAAATGACCAAAAATGAACGTTCTTGGGTCACGATGAAAAATGTGACAGAGCGAGTACTAACATCGGGAACACTTCCCAATTGCTTCCGGTGTGTGCTCTGTCACGTAATTGCCATCACTTGTACCAGTTCAACCCATTTGAACCCAATTAAGATAACAGGGCAACTGTCTCCTTAAACTTCAGACCCGTGAAGATCCGGATTACAACTGATCTTCTTTAACCCATGCTTGTCGTAAGAGGTGACTAGCGGGATCGGGTGGTCAGGCTTGCTGACTTGATTGACACATGTAATCTTCTTCCCGTTGCGTAGATCGATGCTCATGCTTTTGATCACTGGATTGTCTGGTCCAGACTCGATTATTTACAGACCGCCGCCATGTAGCTGAAATATTGCTGAGTGCGGCGTAAAACTAAACTAATTCACTCACTCAGTAGCCCATGCTTGTCGCGACTGACGGTACCGGGTGGTCAGACTGGATGACTTGGTGGATGCATACCATTGTATCCAAGCTGCTCAGATCGCTGCTCATGATGCTCATGAATAAGTTATGACTCGAGGGAGGCGGTGGGGTAGCCCAGTGGTTAAAGCTTTTGCTCATCACACCGAAATCCCGGGTTCGATTCCTCACATGGCTACAATGTGTGGAGGCCATTTCTGGTGTCCCCTGCCGTGATATTGCTGGAATATTGCTAGAAGCGGCGTAAAACTAAACTCACTCACTCTTCCGTCGTGGTATGGAACGGAGCGATTGCTCCAGCACAGAATATTCATAAATTGTTGGAGTTTAAAGGGCATTTTACTAATAGATATTGGATCACATAGCGTACACTCCCTGAGAATACAACTATGATCGGTAGCTTTCTATTGATTCACCGGTGGACTTACATTTTAGCAAAGTTATCTCCCTTTAACCAGTCTCTCCCGCTCCATTCCCCCCGTAACACTGTTGTCCTTGCTCTGCTTCCCCGTGTCATGTCATAGTCCTGGTCGTGTCACGGGGTGGATTCCGAGATTCCGTTCAGTGAGTGAGTGAAGGTATGAAAATGTTTCAGACTGCAAAGAGTGAGTGAGTGAGTATGGTTTTACGCCGCATTTAGCAATATTCCAGCAATATCACGGCGGGGGACACCAGAAATGGGCTTCACACATTGCACCCATGTGGGGAATCGAACCCGGGTCATCAGCATGTCGAGCGGACGCTTTAACCATTAGGCT